CATATTAAAAGCATTCTCCACAGTGCCTGTGGTTGGATCTCTAGTTTCGCATCTGCATATTTGGTGCTTCTGGACTTAGCAGCCCCAAGAGTGATGACTGGGAAGAAAAGGAGCAAACACAGCCATGGATGCCACCACATCCTTGATTCGACACAAAGTCTTCACTCTTTTTCACCTCCACACCTGGGCCGAGATTGTCTAACTGTGGCTTTGCATGCTCCTTGTGTTATCTGCTCAGGAAATCTGCTATTGAAACATTTTCTTCTATGTTGAAATTTCCTGGCTGCCCCCACTCTCACCTGACCTTCAAGCAAAGCCGGAAGAAGTACAGATGTGCAAGATAGGATATTTCTTGGGATCATCTGGCTTGCAAGCCTGACCTGTCCTTAGTTGTTCAGGATCCTAAAGAAAACACAAGGGCTCCCCACCCCCTGCACAGCAGGAGCAGGAGTAGGCTATGAAGGAAGAAAGACAGGTAGACAGAAATGATAAAGAATCCCGTTCATTTATGCCTCCACATGGACGCCCAGGACCTCCTTCCAGGGGAGGTCAGAGTCCTTGTGCAGATATCTGAAGAGACGTCATCTGGGTTTGCGTTAGTGTAAGCCTGTGTCAAGTACAGGAAATGAAGTCAACATTAGAAACTTCACAGCTATATCTTAGGAGGCTTCTGCTTTTAACTTCAGAAAAGACAAAAGAGAAGTTCAGACAGATGAAGACTTTTTAAAATGTGAACTCGTTTACAGTTTTACATAGGCGATGATAAAGGCACAGAAAATCTCCTTCAAAGTCAGTAACCCTTGCCTTTGGATATCAGTGCAAGCGCACAATCACAGCTGATGACAAAATTATTAAGAAGGGTACCACGTCTTTGTTCAGTGAGCCAACTGGAATGGACATCAGTGAGCTGACATTCCTGTCTTAGCAACATAACAAAAATTAAATAAAATGGGATTTTTTTTTCTTTTTCTTTCTTTCTTTCTTTTTTTTCATTTTGTTGTGTTTTGGTTTTGGTTTTTCAAGACAGTGTTTCTCTGCCTGGCTGCTCTGGAACTCACTCTGTAGACCAGGCTGTCCTCAAACTCACAAGATCTACCTGCCTGTACATTCCACAACTGGGACTAAAGGTGTGTGCCACCATCACCCAGTTAGGGATTTGTTTCTTTAATGAAAATGCTTTCTTATGGAACCTTTATCATCAGGGGAAAAAATACAACAACAGAAACAAAACAAAACAAAAATACTCTTCCTGAATAATTCTAAAAGATAATTCCAGTTTGAAAGCAAATTCCGCGAAGATGAAAGATTATCACTTGACTGGATCTTGTTTCTGGAAAGAGGGAAAGAGAAAGAAACTGATGGTGGGGTGGGAGGGGCACAAGGAGAGAGAAAGTTGAGGAAAGGAGCTTCAGTCACAGTTGCAACCTGCTGGTGTCCACAGGTGCCAGCGGGGCCTTACTCCTACATGCAGTTGCAATTCCTGACTGCTGTGCCAGCTGCAATCTGCCCCCGAGATACTGTGACAGTCTCACTCACGTACCAACAACCTTATCCCATGGGCATCTCCCTGCATGAATGAAATTCCCTATAATGTCCCCTTCACACATCTCCCCCTCATTCTCCAGGTTTGACCTCCCCACCTTTGACCTTTGTCCTCTTCTCTTGACCTGGGGGATGTGTTTCTGATGTTCCAAGTAAAGCTTCCCTGGCAGAAAAAAAAAAGAAAAAAAAAAAAACGAAAGAAGAAGAAAAAGAAAAGAGAGAACCTGAAGTAAGCAAACACTTGCAAAGAAAGAAATTAAAAAGGTAGAGGATCATGACTATCCAATATCCTACAGTCAAAACATTGTGATTCTGGCAAACAGACAGACATACACAAGAGAGCTGAAGATAGTCAAGAAACAGGAATTCCTAGAAAATCATGAAAAAGAAATTAAAATGCATGTCCCCATAAAAAATTGTGAACCTTTGTAGCACAGTCAGGAATTAGAAACAACCCACGTGAGAAAACAAACTGGGAAATAAAGTGCGGTCCACACATAGCGAGAACTGTGGCTCAGCAGAAGGGGATGAACTATTTATTACAGGCAGCGCACAGCTTTCAAAGAGAGAAGCAAGCACAGCACCCCTCTGTGGGATCCCATTTTATGACATTACTAAAGCAGCTGAGCATTTTCCTCTCAATGAAGTAGAATCAGGTCCATGGGCTCTGTACACTTGGTGGAGAGAAAAGATTAATTAGAAATGGTATACAGGAACATGTGAGGTGACAGGAACGTGCTGGCATGCATAACTATAAATGTTTCTCATTTATTTATAGAAATGTGTGCCAAAAACGAGAAAATTAACTGCAAGTGGCTAATTACCCCATGAGCCTCTACACACACACACACACATACACACACACACACATACATACATACATATTGTATATTTTTCCTTGTAAGCTATTTTCTCCCTCATATACCTATTTCAGGGAAAATGACAACAAAATGCAGAATAAAAGCTATCAAATTAGAGGAGCTTGACCCCTGATTTCTGTAAGGTATAAGAAAAGATTAAATTCAAGGCTATTTGATATCAATAAAATTTGTACAATTATTTTTCATGTTTGTAAGAAAAACGAATCCTAGAGAAGCTAAATAAGAAGGTGAACCCAAACAAAAACACATAGGCATCCTCCTGAATATTAACCTTCATCAAGCGATGAAAGGAGACAGAGACAGAGACCCACATTGGAGCACCGGACTGAAATCTCAAGGTCCAAATCAGGAGCAGAAAGAGAGAGAACACGAGCAAGGAACTTAGGACCGGGAGGGGTGCACCCACACACTGAGACAATGGGGATGTTCTATCGGGAACTCACCAAGGCCAGCTGGCCCGGGTCTGAAAAAGCCTGGGTTAAAACCGGTCTTGCTGAACATAGTGGACAGTGAGGACTACTGAGAACTCAAGAACAATGGCAATGTGTTTTTGATCCTACTGCATGTACTGGCTTTGTGGGAGCCTAGGCAGTTTGGATGTTCACTTTACTAGACCTGGATGGAGGTGGGTGGTCCTTGGACTTCCCATAGGTCAGGGAACCCTGATTGCTATTTGGGCTGATGAGGAGGGAGACTGGATCGGGGAGAGGGAGGGAAAGGGGAGGTGGTGGCGGGAAGAGACAGAAATCTTTAATAAATAAATAAATTTAAAAAAAAAGAAAAACAAATTAGCCTTAGATGATCAGCAGAAAAAAGGAGCACTAGAGATGCCAGTCAAGGCAACTCAAGAGACAAGTTGCTTCCAATAGGCAGTGAGCTGAACAGTGACTCCATGAAGACGTGCTGGGGTCCTCTCCTCCGGAGGCTACGAGTGTTGGGTTACACAGCTGGAGTGTGGGGAGTGTGCTTTGGATAGCGGAGGATGGAAATAAACTTAGCATCTGGAGAGGAGGGGCTTGACATGATCACATGTGTCCTATTCTTAGGGAGAATATCTGAGGTCACAGAGAAGGAAGGTGACATAGAAACGTGCTTCTATGATTACGTAGCCACAAGCCTGAGACTGCTGACAGCCACAGGGATGGCAGCAGACGCAACTACCTACCCATCTAACAGCCAGTCCGGGTCCCTCTTTAGTAACAGACCCACCCTGCTCTAGGGCCATAACTTAAACCCTGAGATCAACAGTCAAATAGTTGGCAAGTGTTTTGGCCACAGGTTCTCCAAATAACTGGATGGTTTTAATAGCTTGAAGATGTCTGCAGCCACTCCCATCTGTCATCCAGTTATCTTCATCGACGGAAGGGAGGGCTACCCTTGCAGTCGTCACCTCTCTGCAATAAGGCATCCTTGGACCCAGAGGGTGTGCATTAAGGATGGGAGAGCAAAGTAACAAAGCAAAGGTTCCAAAATAACGTGGAACTGCGGGAACAGTCCTGGCCTCCTCGCCTGTTTTGCATACATAAAAAAAGCAGGCCTTGTTTTGTCAACCCAACTTCATATTGCATTTCTGTAGACCCGTAACCGAAAGCAATTCCCAGCTTACTCCAAGATCTAATTAACTTTATAAAAACGATACTGAAACTAGAGAAAGTTAAGAATGAGGAGTTGCTGATAGCATCCGTTTTTCCTCTGGGTTAGTTTTCCAGAGAACGAATTTGCTGATCTCATAGGAGATGTCTTTCATTTTGATTTGCTAATCTCTGTTTTCTTTTTCAGTTAGACTGAAAACAGGCAGTCAGACAATGTATAAGTCACATCTCTCTCTATCCCCTGAGTCATGTAAAGGGAGTACCTGCCTCTGTTATTTGTTCCAAATCAGGAAAGGGTTACCTTAACAGACAAATTGCCCCTGTCCCCCAGACTCTGGTGTTAACACCCGACAGGCTCAATGAACATCAAAGGTGTTGCCTCGTTCAGCCCTGCAATTTTCCATTTTGGAGTGACTGATTTTTAGACGTTCCATCTTTCCCCAGATCACTGTGAAAGACATAAATTAATCTATAAACCAGATAAGTACAAGCCCTTAAACTAAAAAAAGAAAAAACGTGTCACCCAGATGAAGGGAGAGAACATGAAGCTAGGAATAATTACTGGACATTAGAGACAGAGCAGGTGTACAGAAGAGCGTGAGAAAGAGTGCTGAAAGTTCTGGAAGAGGCTCTTGGGCTAAGAAAGGCACAGAAACAACAGCCACTGCCAATGATGACTGTGGGCCTAGAGCTGCTTGGCTCCGTGCCTACTCACGAAACCCTGTCCACACCACTTCACAGAGGGTCCCAAGGGAGCTGTTTGAGGATCTCTAAACTCTTTAAGACCACAGCCTTTCTAGGTAGAGGCCTGAGGCGGAGCAGTTCCCAGATGCAGACTTGAAACCTAGCTTGATTCTTACTCGAGTTTCTTTCCTTCCCATAATGCTTCTTAAAAGGAAGGCTCAAGCTGATTAGAGAGACAGTTCGGCATCTAAGAGCACTTGCTCCTCTTGTAGAGGACCTGGGTTGGGTCTCCAGTACCTACATGGTGATTCACAGCTGTCGGTAATTCCAGCTCCATAGCGCCAAGAGACTCATGACTTCTGTGGGCGCCAGACATATACATGGTGCACTTACATACCTACATGCAGACAAAACAATAATACAGATAAAATAATATCAATAAATCTTTTTTAAAAAAAATAAGGTAAAGAGTGATAGAGGAAGCATCTGACCTTGACTTAAAGGTCAACCTCCCAGCCTTCCAAACAAGGTGGTGACAAGTGTCAAACACATGGGCCCACAGGTGACATTTGATTTGGTATCTCCAATAACCTGGCCATCTTTCAGTCACCTGCATGATAAAGTAACATCTCAATTTGCCAAGTCCTGAGAGCAGTCAACAAGGGTCCAATCCAACCTCTCTTTTCTCTGTCTATTCATCTGCTCCTTTGATGCTCTAAGCCAGCACCACACCCCTGAAGGCTAATTCTACTCACAAGAGAACAATGATTCCCTCATTTATGTGAATCAATGCGCAGGGAAGAAAGGCAGAGGTTGCGAGTGCACATACCTCCTTCCACCAAGATAGTCTGATTATACTTATTTAGGGTCAGTTCTTTCCCTAAATGTAGTCAATGGACCAATAATAAGAAAAATAGTGTTACTTTATTCTACAGATGTAAACTATGTTAATAATTAAACATATTTCTCAGCTTCTATGAGAATTTGAGTCGGCTTCCATTTACACATGTTTTACAACTTACATATTACACATGATAAAAGATGCAATTGCTTCAGTTACCAAATAAATAGGAAATGAATACAAACATTAAAAGACCACCAAGAAACAGGCATGCTCATCGTGCAGATGGGAGAACAAAACATGGCAACGACATCGATTGTGGGGAGCAGAGGAAACCCTGGATGTGTGAGGTCCTCCATGAATGCATGTTGTTAACATGGCCACAGCCATGCCAAGGACCTTAACCTCAGACCCATGGTATCAACGGCTAAGCCTTCCTTTTGATCTATATGCAGATGTTGGCAGTGTGTGCAGAAAAAGTCTGTCAACCTTCCACCCACCCCTATCTGTAGATCCTGAAGACTGCTCCCTACAAGAACTGTTCCTGCAAAGATTAGCTAGACCTGCCTTCTTACTCAGCTGGATACCATAAACCCTTGCTCAATTCAGTTATGTGCGGGAACCCCGCCTCTCTGTTCAACCGTACATTATAAACACACTGAGCCTCCGGGGTTCTACAGTTTCTCCATCAGAAAGCCCTGTGCACTTGATCCTGCTCTTTCTGTATGTCCCTGTGTCTAACATTTCTTCATTCCCTTGCTGGCCAAGGGCACAGGACACAGCAATCTGGGGAGCGGAGGAGCTAGAAGAATTGGAGAAAACCTTTCCACATATACTCAAAATCCCCACTGCTAGACACGTGTGTACAAGAGAGACATTTGAAGGAATGGAGAGATGGCTGAGCACTTAAAATTGGTTTCTGCTCCTACAGAGAAACGGACTTCAAGTCCCAGCACCCACATCAGGAAACTCACACCACCACTGCCGCTCCAGCTCCTGGGGATATGAACCCCCTCTCCTTGGCCTCTGTGGGTACCTGTGCTCCTGTAGACTTACACACACACACACACACACACACACACACACACACACACTTAAAATTTCCAACTTTAAAGGAGAAATGACACATGAATATGCCCCATTAGTTTCCACAAATATGGTGACACCTGCTTCAGTTTGCCCACAACTTAGCTTACTGAAACTGGAAAGTTTTGGTTCTGAAACTGGAGCAATACCTGGCAAATTGGGACTGCTGCTTACTGGTAGCAAATAGCCCTAAATTCATCACCTTGAAATGACGTATAACTGCTATCTCTATTTCTCTGAGTCAGGAATGTGGATATAGCTTAGGCAGACCTCTGTCGCATGCTGCTGCCACCACCACCAAAGCAGCAGCCAAGGTACCAGAGTGTAGGGCCCTGGTCTGCCCTTATTCCTGGGGTGCATCTCGAGGACAATTTCTGGTCTACATAACTAAGCATTCAGCCCTTATTCCTAGGGCGCAAACAGTTTCTAGTCAGATGACTAGTGTTCTGCTGCCCCGCCTGGTTAAGTTCNTTGTTGATATGGTAATTTCCCATCTGCCTGGGCAGGGGTCCTAGTGCTGCAGTTAGGTAGAATAGGACTTTCCTCAGTCTGAATAAAAAGCATTCACTTGATCTCCTATCAAATGACCCCTATCTCTTTGTGTGTTCTGTTTAACCTCCAGGCCTTGCATCCAGTACAGTGGGAGGGTGTAACACCAAAACCTGGTGTTACACCAGAGGAGGCTGAAGTCTCAGCCAGTGGATGAATATAGTTGGTTTCCCAGTCCACTCAGGAGCTTACTTGCAAGATTCAGTCCCTCAAAGGCCATGGGAACATTCAAACAGAGGCTTCTGTTATTTGCTGGCCAAAGCTGCCCTCCGTTTCTTGCCACAGCCACTTGCTCCATCAAAGTCACAATATCATGACAGGAGTCACAAGGTTTGATATAACCTGAGCAAGGACCAGGTACACCTTCAATGTAGCTGGACTGTATTGGTTGAAAAGACTGGAGGGAAGAAGAGGACACAGTCTAAGAAGAGAGACAAGCTCCCAGATGAGAAACAAAGTCCTGGTAACATAAAAGGCCTAGTGATCAGCATCGCAACACCTGGAGTAAGCTCAGCATCCGATACATCTTTGTCCTACAATTCATGTCCTCTCAACACACAGTCATCTACCACTACCTTCTCCACAGAGAAAGCTCCAGAACAAAGCCTAACCTTCTCAAGGGAGACCATGCTTCTTGGGACAACACTCTATCCATAGCTTCCAGGGCCAGGGACACCCTCCTAAAATGACCACCATCAGGGAAGGTCAAAGCTTGACATCTTCAGGAGGAATGCATGGTTCACTTGTTTCCTTTTTATTGTGATTATTATTATTATTATTATTATCTCTTCACCATGTTTGTGTCTGGTGTCCAAGGAGGTCAGAAGAGAGCCTAAGAGCACCTAAAACTACAGTTAAAGATGGCATTGGCCCACCGTGCAGGTGCTGGGGATCAAACCCAGGTCTTGCAAGGGAAGCAAGTGGTCTTAACTGCTAAGCCATCTCGCTAGCCCCTCCTGGTTCACTTGTATTTCCTCTCAGTCTAGAAACGACTCACCAGCCCAGAATTATTTATAATCATCACCCATGCTCCTTGGAAATCGATTTGGATTCTGCTCTTTAAGGGGCTGTGAGGATATATGAGCTCGCAAGGCAACCAGTGCTTAAATCATCCTGCTGCTGTAAAGACTGTCTTACTCCAGGGCCCATCCTTCTACAGAGGAGCAGATTCTTTTCTTCTTCAGGAAGTTGCTGGCATGGTGGCAGGACTTCCTCTAAGGCTTTGGGTTAGCTCTCAAGGAAGCAGTGGAGGGAGAGGACACCCCAAGCCTAGCTTCTGCCANGCAGAGTCTGACCTCACTTCCTCTTCCGCCCAGAATTCTATTCTGTTTACTCCTCCCATCTATGTTCCAAGCCATGAGGCCAAGCAGCTGGTTTATTATAACTTAACCAATGAAATCAACAGATTGATATATGACACTCCCACATCACTGCCACCCCCTTGTACTTCCAGAGCTTGAAGGATGACGTTGACAGTTTGGTTTTATTTTGTTTTTTTTTTTTTGTAGCTTGTTTGTTTGTTTGTTGTTTCTTTGTTTTCAACAATAGATTTCTGAAGCAACACCCTGGGGAACAAAGTGACCAGGACCACTAAGGCAGAGCATAATTGTTACCCATTTAAAGTGCCCTGCAAATCAGATGAAACAAAAGGTCACCTGTTGGGCCACATTGTCCCTGTTGTTAAAGTACTGGCATTTCTAAGTTTTTTATAAATTCAGGTGGGCTTCTCTGGCTGGGCTACAGGCCCCAGATAGGAGGAAACTTCTCCCTCAAAACGATTTCCCCCTCAGACACTAAACCTAAAGACCCTTCTCTCTGTCCCTTTTCACACCTCATCATCTTCGCTTCTCCTGGAGTTTAAACCCACCTCCAATGGAGCAGGACAGTTAAGGTCTGTAAAGACCAAGGGTGAATCTCCTGTGACCAGACAAGGCCTCAAGTAGATGGATTGCGACACCAGCCCTGCCACAAAAGCCTCGACTTACAGTTTGTCCTGCCTGCAGAGTGTGATGGAACCAGATCCCAGCAGACTCCTCATCAAAGAGGCCAGAGAGACTTTATCCAGCAACTGTTGGGAGCAGATGTAGGGTCCCACAGCCACACATTAGATGGAGAACTCAGGGAGTCCTGCTGAGAAGCGGGAGGAAGAGGGGAGCCAGAGGGGTCAGGGACACCAGGAGAACATGGCCCACAAAATCAATTGATTGGTACTCACAGGGCCTCGCAGCAATCAGGGAGCCTGTAGGGGTCTGATCTAGGCCCTATGCATATATGTTATGACTGAGGAACTTGCCGTTCTTCTGGGGTTCCTAACAGTTGGAGCAGGGCTGTCACTGACTCTTTTCCTGCTTGTGGCACGTTTTCCCCTCCTGCTAGGTTGTCTCATCCAGCCTTTGGCCTGATCTTATTGTAGCACATGATGCTGTGTTTGGTGGTTATCCTTGGGAGGCCTGCTCTTTTCTGAGGGGAAGTGGAGGGAGCAGATTTGGGGGTGAAGGGAGGTGCCATGGGAGAGATTAGGGTGAGGGGAGGGAGGGAAAACTGCAGTCGGGATGTAATGTATGAGAGAATAAAAATAATAAAAAAAAATTTAAAGATCAAAGGCAAAATTAAAGTCAAGTATCTACTTTTACCCAGCAGTCACATGACTCCCTAGGGAGAGGGACAGCACCAGGAAACATCTGCTATGGCACTGAAAGAGTCCCTGGCTCTTTTCTCTCCCTTGGGATTAGATTCTGAAAAGGGTCCTTTAACTGCCCTCTCAGCTCCATGGCCGCCATGCCACAGGCTTGAGGGAAGCAAAGAACTCATTCCACATTTAAATATTTGCAGTTTTCTAGAAGCCAGATGTGTTTGTCTGTAGAGAAGAAGGGTGTCTTTCCCATCCCTTCAGCAGTGGTCACACCTCCTCTCAAGAGGGCACAGCAGGCCATCTCTTCATGAAGACTTGGTTGTTTTTTTTTTAAGATTTTTTTTAAATTTATTTATTTCTTTATTAAATTTTAGGCTCTATAGGCTCTATGTTGGCCTCCTTACAGCCAAGGGTCCTTTCAGTGTGAGGACTGCCACCAAACCCCAGCAGGGAAAACTCATCTCTTCCTTCTCTGGGAGTCCAGAATTTTACCTTAATGTTTCTGGTGATGTTTCCAGTCAACTGTTGCAAGGACCAAGGGTGGGCTCTGGGGTGAAAGGGACACACCAGCCTCCATGAACAAAGAAGGGCCATACAGCCGTTCTTTCATGGGTTTATTTAGGGGAGGAGATGAAATAAAAGGCAGCGTGTGAGAAGACCAAGAGACAGAGCTGGGGAAAGGCAGCAGATGCTGTCAAAGATCCTCTTTCAAGTTCCTGTGTGCTCAGAATCTGCAGATGTATGTTGGCAGGGCTACAGTCAGAGCGAGTCGGGAGGCAGGGGTTCACACATCTGGAAAGCATTTGCAAGGGGCAGAGTTCAGAAGTGCTCTACCTCAGCTGCCTTCGGAGCAGGCCAGCCGAGCAGACTGATGCAGGCTGTAGGGCTGGTTGCTCCCAGAGGAGTCTCTGGGGTCACTTACCTAAGGCAAGGGTTCTCCTCACTATCAGCCCAAGCCCATGGCGAAGTTGAAAGAATCATATGATGAGAGACAGGGCCTGGGGGAAAACTGGAGTAGAGAAGAGACGGCAATTCAAACTTCGAGAAGTCTGGCCGCAAGTCAAGAAACAAAATGTACTTGGATTGAATCCAGTGCATGAGTTAACTTGAGAGCAAAGAACAGCATTCAGGGGAGGGGACAAAAGGCCACTCCGCTGCATAGTAACATGCAGGGGTCATGCTCACACCACACTGGCTTTTCTCAGAAATCTCTGTACATTTCGCCTTCGTTTATTTCAAGAATGCAGAAGGTTCTCTTTATCTGGAGGGAATTACTTGCTCTTTTTGAAGAATTTATGGGGTTCTGCAGAACAAGAGAGAGAACAGGTCCCCAAATTATGGGTTATCATCCCAATGACCTTCAGTCTCTTGCTGTCCAATATGAGGTGTGAACCTGCCTCCCAGAAGGGCCAGGTCACCCTGAGGGTTTAGCTCCCCTCAGAGAAAAAGTTTCAGGGTGAAGTCATATCCCAGTTCAAAGGTCCTGCCCCACTCAACAGCACAAATGACATGTCTTACAGCTGCTCATTGGATTTAGCTTGGGGCTAAACCTCATATTTTCCTGTGTTTGGTAGTGTGACCCCTCAAAGTGTGATAACGACTTAAAGATGCCGGGGCTTAACTGCATTGGTTACTGTGTTCCATAGCCTCAGAAACATCAAGGTCTGTCTAGGGAGAGAACACAGGCAATAAAAAGAAGATGAGTTATAAACTACAGCACAAAATATAGTGTACAACGGTTAGGAAATAAAACAAGTCTAGACGGATGTCCTTGGGCTCCTTACCCTCTGATCTTCCTGTCTTGATGAGCGAGAGTGTCTCACAGCCCAAGCCAGAAACCAACATGTCTTCTGCTTCATTGCCTGCTCATCTAATACAGCCATTGGATACTATTGCTAATAATCCCTTAGCATCTCTTCATGGGGCTATCCCCAACCTCAACTCCCCACCCTCAGTGTACCGAACAGAATCAGTGCCGCTGGTGACCGAGAGTCAGTCTCCCACCATTAGCTTGGACCTGTCTGAGTCAAGGTCTATACCGATTGATGCCATACTCAAAAGGTCTCAGAACTTTGACTCAACCCTACCAAGAACCAACTGGTTGCAGGCACCCTTCAGACTCTGCTTTTCTGATTCCCTCTTGACATATGCTGGCTTCAGACATTGGGAAGAGATACGTTTAAACCCAGATGCCAACTCAGCATGCCTAAGGTAATCCAATCATTGTCTTTGTGTTGTTCAGTGCCCTGTTCCTGCAGCAATTCTAACTAATAGTAGCGCTTTAACAGGACATACAGCAAGCAAGTAGCCAAGAAAAGGGCCCATCTAGATTTCCAGCATAGACGTGTGTCCACAATATAGACAAGCATATATGTGTGCAAGTAAACACACACACACACACACACCTTCCGAAAGAGAGAGAGAGAGAGAGAGAGAGAGAGAGAGAGAGAGAGAGAGAGAGAGAAAGAAAGAAAGAAAGAAAGAAAGAAAGAAAGAAAGAGAGAGAGAGAAGCATTGCTACTGAAGTTCAGAGGACCTTGAATGGCACTCAGCTCCACTCTGAAAGCCGAGTAGTGTGTGTCCAGGTTAAATAATAGAAAAGCCTGGGAAGCTTTGGAGAACCAGTACAGTCCAAGACACTGTCACATCTGGGCACTGCTGGCTTTTCTGGTTCTTTGTAGGGTGTTAAAGTGGATATAGGAGTCCAATACTAAATTGTTGGCCCTTTCCTGGACTCTAGGTTCGAAGAGATCAATATAAATTAGGAGTGACAGGCAGGACACAAGGAGCACATGAGTCAAATCAAAGCACCCAAAGACCTCATGGGTGATGGTCCCTAAACCTCCAGCTGGATCCTCGTGACAGCATGTCTCATGCCCACCCTCTCGCAGTGTTCCTATTTGTTTCCCTGTGTTCAGTTTCTTTCTCTGTGCCAGCCTCCTGGCCATCACGGAGATGGAGAATAGGCTCTCTGATCTTCCATCACTGTGAAGCCTTGCTCCTGCACACCTTCCTGTCCTCCTGGGCCATCAGCTCCACGGGGCCTGAAGACCCTTCCTCCTTTCCATTTTTGTAACATTGATCCCTTCTAGGACTTCTTTGGCTGCCACACACAGAGCTGATGGGTCGAGTTTATGGACACCATTATTGCCAGGATCTCTTCCCTTCATTGTCTAGAAGCCTGTCTCCACTTAAGCCCTAATCCTTTTTACCACTTTTGACCTAGTTCCCATTATTTTATATTTTTCCATATTTAGTCAAATAAGTCACTTGTCAGCCTGCATTTACCTTATTGGCTCTAGCTCTTCTATTGTGGCTCAAATGAGTGCCTGGTGGAATGGGGGTGGGGAGTCCCCAGGCCAATCCCAGGGACTCATCCTCTCTCGCATCTTGTGGACTAAATGGAAAACTTCTTTGAAAGAGTTACTAGTGTTTTTGAACTAGACAAAGGGGTGCCATAACTCACTGCTACCCAGCTCTTGGCAACCTTCAAACGGAAGAGTGCACTTAAATACATCAAATGTGGAAAACATGCAACTAAGCCCTTCCTCTACAGCTGCAAAGGACACCCATTCCTTTGTGCAAATCTGCTAACCATGGATAAACAGGTATTGCAGGTAAGACAGAAGAAGAGATTGAGCGAGAGAAGGAAGGCAAGCCTTGATGACCTTCCTCCCTCCTTGCCTTCAGCCCTAGAGACCCAACTGTGTGTGTGACTGAAAAGATGAAAAGGCCCCACTTTGGAAAATATTAATTCTTGAAACATGTGTAGCACAATCAGGAGTCTAAACAAAGATACTATTCACGGTAAACAACCCGCAGGCTTGCCCCTACCCCTTCCGGGGCATGTTGGAGAAAGAATCACCTGGGTTTGATGCTCAAAGGCTTTGAAATAAGCCGAGCTTTTAAAGGGTCTCAGAGCTGCTTTGATTTGCTGGAGCTTGCCTATCTGTCACGTAGGGGAACCTTTGGATGACTGAGAAGTGTTCGCAGGGGTTAGTCCTAGCCTCTCTTTTGCCTCAAAATCAAGCTACTGCACTGCTGTCCAGTTGGCCAGCATGTGAGACACTCCAGGATCACCCCCAAAAGCAGAGCTGAAAGACTCTACTAATTTGTGACCCCTGACTAAAGAGAAATGGCAGTGACTTTTCCAGTCTGTACTGAATTTTTTTTTATTCAAACCATTCACAAAGAGTTCTCACTCTCAATAAAGTATCATCAAAATCTAAATATCTGCAATAGAGACAGCAAAAACATGGTGTGCATTTTTATGCATTGTATCAACATAGCCATCTGGCAGGTGGTGATGGTTGCTGTGCACATTTATAGGTGAAAGCCTTCGGTTTTGTGAATACCCTTATCTGGATCTAGAACATCTAAGAGGGCTGGAATAAACACAAGTCAACCTTAATACAAAGGCTACATTTTCAGTTTTGCGATAGGATTTTTCTCAAGTAGACACAGAAAAAATGGACATCAAAATGACTATATTCATACTCAAGCAGAGAAAACTGTAAAACTTCTCAACACATATATTCCCCATACAGCCACAAGCCAACAAGGAGGATGTGGAGTGTTTAATATGCTGCTGTGTAAACATTGTGTTTCCCTTTGATATGTGCTTTGCCAATCTCATCAAAATAATTAATATGTTTAATATTTTGTGGCAATTCCGAAACCAGAATGTATGGAAGCTATCCTTAAAGATTATGGGTCTGTCTTGTTTAGGGTTTCAATTTCTGTAAAGAAACACCATGACCACAGCAACTCTTATAAAGGAAAACATTTAATTTGGGTGACTGGCTTACAATTCAGAGGTTCAGTCCATTATCACAGTGGTGGGAGATGGCAGCATGCAGGCAGACATGGTGCTTGAGAAGGAGCTGGGAGGTCTACATCTTGATCAGTAGGCAATAGGAAGCATGTGCAAAGGAGACCTCAAAGCCCACCCCCACAGTGACACACTTCTTTCAACAAGGCCTAACCTCCTCCATCAAAGCTATACCTCCTAATAGTACCATTACTTTTGAAGGCCATTTTGTTTTAAACCTCACATGGGTCTTAAACAGGGTGATAGGATAATATGTACTTTAAAGACTGAATTCTTAGACACATTTTTTTTTATTTCTTTCAGAAAAATTTATAAAAGCAAAGTATACATTTCTCACCATTACCATTGAGGCATAAACAGGAATTTTCATTGTATTAAAATGTGCTTTTTGAGGCAAAGAGAGACAATCCAAATCAACAAAATCAGAAACAAAATGGAGACATAACAACAGATTCTGAGGAAATCCAGAGAATCATTAAGTCATACTTCAAAACCTGTGGAGTCACAAAGTTAGAAAATCTAAACGAAAGGGACAAATTTCTTGATAGATATGACTTCCCAAAGTTAAATCAAGATCAGATAATTTAATTAGACAGATAATCTCTAAGGAAGTAGAAGCATTCATTAAAAGTCTCCCAACCAAAACAAGCCCAGGGCCAGATGGTTTAATGCAGAATTCTACCAGACATTCAAAGAAGAGCTAATACCAATACTCACCAAATTATTGCACAAAATAGAAGCAGAAGGAACATTGCCAAATGCTTTCTATGTGGCCACAGTCACCCTGATATTCAAACCACACAAAGACTCAATAAAGAAAGAGAACTACATGCCAGTTTCACTCATGAACACTGATGCAAAAATACTCAATAAAAAACCAAATCCAAGAACAGATCAAAAAGACCATCCACCATGAGCAAATAGGCTTCATCCCTCTGGGATGCAGGGATGGTTCAACATACAAAAATATGTCAATGCAATTCCTCATATAAACAAACTGAATAATCTCATTAAATGCTGAAAAAGCCTTTGACAAAATCTAACACCTCTTCATGATAAAAAGTCTTGGAGAGATCAGGGATACAATGGACATGCCTAAATATAATTAAAGCAATTTACAGCAAGCTGAGGCCAACATCAAATTGGAGAGAAACTCAAAGCAATTTCACTAATATTAAGAATAAGATGAGGTTGTCCACTCTCTCTAT